AAAATTTTGCCTGCTCAACTCCAACTACTGGTTGCTACTGAATTTCATGTGGACTTATGGTCAGCCACGGGTCTTCAGAATGAAGATAACCGTACTCTTTGATCCATCCTTTAAGTACAAGGTGTTTCGTTTTCCTTTGCTCAAGTCCAACGGCTCAACTTGTCTTTGTCGGACGCTAAAAGTAACTGTGCTTGTTAACTAACTCCTGCATTCCAACTTTCCTCCGCAGTACTTCGATGTCGATATTAGTTGCACTCCACGATGAACCTCGGACATGGAAACATCTGATAGGATTCGAGCTTTTAAAATGTGAGGGGTCAACGCAGTTGACTTAGAGCGCAGTATATCAACTTCTTTCCGTTCAGACCAAAACTGATCCAAAATCGTACTAAAATCGACCAATTTGGACCGCCTCCTGTTGTTGAACTAATCTCACACAAGTGTAATAGAGATCCTGATATCATAGCCGACAAGCACTCTTTCATCCTTTTGCGTAAGTTCAATTGAATGCCCAAGATAGTTCCTCTAACGTAATTAAACCAGGATCCCCGGGCCGCAGTACACTCTAGTGCTGGAATAGGGGTTACTGTGAAGCTAGTTTTAAGTTTAACCAACGATTAAGACAAGGCTGTAGGCCTTTGTAATGCGATTGGGTTAACGAAAAGACCGATTCCTCATCTTGGTTGTATATAATAAGGGCCCGTACTTTCCATCTTAACTTTGTTGGTTTCTTGATCCTTGATGATAATTGTAATTATACTACTACATTGCTGAGAGTAGATGGTAGTAGTTTTACCATCCAATCTGTAAATACACCACTCCTCAAAATTGCATATAAATGTCCAGCGACCAGGATGTACATAAGAAAGGGTGGCAAGATTGGATCAATTTTTTCTTGAACCAATTTTGCTTGTGCATCAAAGCTGAAGCTTGCTCTGGCCCTGTCACGCTGTGCACTTTTAAATAATGTTCCTTGAGGCATATCAGATGGCCCGTAACTTGCTTCAGTCGATCAGTCCAAACTGGGTTACATTGTGCTTATGATGCTCACTTACGAGGAAATGAACCTAATATTCCTTGTACGTCCAAAGCGTGCACTGGATTTACACGCCAAAGTTTGGTACAGATGATTACGCTCCGCTGTGCAACTATCTTCCAAGGTCTATACAGTATTGTCCAATCCTAGACAGGAACGGCTGAGATGGAAGGGTTAGCTTCGAGTCACGGAACTTCTGCTCAATAAGTTTTCGCCTCGGCCACTGAGCCACCTTCAGCCCCATCCAAAAAGTAAATATGCGAACCTTCAACCAAACATAAAAAAGTGTCCTGTTCTGGTAACCAATATTCATTTTTGACGCAATAATTTGTATGCAGCCTTAACGAGTCTGAAATTTTGATCAGGAAAGTAGTAGATGAAAAAGTAAGTAGCTGCAACAATTCTCACCTCGTTTATCTTCTCGGAACATCAGCACTTTGTTGATGTTCAGTTGTTTTGGATAACTAACTCTCAGCCAGTAACTACAATTGAAGAGCATTTAACTAAACCACTAAACGCAATAAAGAAGAGAGATGGATATAGCTAGTTATTATCAATTAAGAGAGAACAGTATAAGCTGCCACTTTGCGTTTAAATGTGATATTGTGTGTGGAGAAGTTTAGGTCACGATTCGAATGTCCTCTTCGGAAGTTAGTTTTGACTTCAAAATGGCATTGTACGAATACTCAGTACCAAACGATGACGCCACAGTCGTCTTTACATGATATAAAAATAGAGAACTATCTTTGACTTATAACCTTTGTAAATATTTTGAACAGCAAGTTCCGCGTACAATGGGTTATCTGTCAACGGAAAGTATACTCACCTTACTCCGACTTTTTCTCAGGTTGCATTCTGTATTCCTGTCTCAAAGCTTCGATATGCTTTTCTGTCTAGATGGGCTTGTAGCTTCAACTGTCCGGGAAGTGGCTCTACAAGTTTGTCAACCATGGCGAACATAAAATCACCCTAACTGATGTCATTGTCCGTAAATTCTACAAGACAATCCAGGTGTTAAGGTCTTCCAGCACTGCCACAGGTCGACCACTGGAAGCAGATCAACTGATGTATACCGGAAAATCCGTCACTACCGCAATTGTCCCTGTTACAACACATAATTTCCCTTTTTCTCTTCAACCCATTACCTACATTTTCCGATTTCACACGTACAAAGCATAATCATAAGCCTGAACTGCTGTGACTTCCTGTAAATTTGTTTGGTACGAGGGAGAGACTTTTGTCCCACTCAGATAAACTTTAATAAAACCACAAAACAAGCCAATCTGTTATACCTCTGCATTCTGGCATAGCAACAGCAGTCACTGAAAATTAAGAAAACATCTATTTGTAGTGTGTTTCCCCATCTTCTTTGCTGACACTCAGTGTCCCTTCTGTGAGCTGTTTAAAAAAAATGAAGCCACCAGGCCGAACCGTGATTAAGCCGTGTCATTGTCCCCTAGTGTGGACGGACAGTTTAATTGCAGTGACCCGTCATTCAACATGAAAATCGACTAGCAAACCCGAGTCAATGCTACTGGGCTTTTCTACTACGATGCTACCTCTTCCCAATCTCAAAATTTATCCTCTTCTCGTCTTTGCGAAATGGACAAAAAGCTGTTTCCTCAGAGGAAGTGCTTCCTCCTAAGGTGTGCTTTCCTTAGGAAGATCATACATATCAAGTAGAATGAGCACATGCATACATTTACATATGTGTGACTTGGGTACTCACTTTTCAAACGGAACGGTTAGTTGTCTACGCGCGTATAGTAGATGTCCCTGTTCATAAACGTCTCTCACAAACGTAAATACACTAACCGTGAACCACTTTAAAGTAGTTTGTTTGAATCTGTGGGACGAGGGATGGAAAGATGGTGGTTTTGAACTACTAACCCATATATGCTTTTGAACATGTTCGAACACATTTAGACAAATTCATAGTGGGGTTTCACCTCACAAGCTACGAACCTAATGGGTCTCTCCGGAATTAACTCCCGAAAGTCTATGGAAACACCGTTCTCATTCTTTGTTGATGGATTCAAATATTGAATGCAACAACTGTCTTCGGTTTTGCGGAAAACTACATGTATATCGTGCAGGATATTGCAAATCTTTTGGAAGTAATGGTGCAACCGTTATCTAGTCACACCCGCAGACTTCTTCTGGGATGTCAACAATCATGCGTAACAGTAGTGCGACCGGGCCACTGTTCCGATAAGCACTGCATACATGGAAAACTATCTTGAACAGACGTGCAGCATGGTATCATTCAGCAAGTGAATATTAGTCCTAGGAAATGTTATACAAACGAAGTGTGCCAAACGGACTGTTGTTCAGCAGATTCAACAGCAAGGTAAAATTGATTGGCTAATAACACACAATGTAATTGCCGGGCCGAGATACAAAGGGTAGTAATCCCTCATCAAAAAACACGGATTTATGAATTCACTAACGTGAATTTGATGGAAGTATCTGCTCATTTATGCGCCCTTGAGTTTCCGCGAGACATGATGAAACCAGAGTTCAATGGCATTTCCTTCCACAGAAGCGGAACTTCACAAAAGTAGGAAAGTACTTTCCTTGCCAAATTTCATGGCCAACCGCATCGTTCAGACATTGATCAAATCAATAGGGTATTGATGACTTGCAGTTTAAAGTGATTCAAAACGGTGGATGATCTGAGGATAGTGTTTTTGTTCTTTCAGAAGACCGAAATCGGAACCATGTGGTTAGAAAACATACCTTTCCCAATTTTTACATGCTTCAGTGATGAAAGAAGCGTTCATGTTTGCTATGTGGGAGTCGTAAGATAGGTACATGAAACATGTAGTGGACAGCACGTTACATTAAAAAGTCAATAAATTACTTTCCGAAACCTAAAATGGAAACTAGCTTTTCAAAATAACAAGAATGGAAGCCTGTGAAAATACATGTTAAGCATCTTAGTGCTCAGTTATATGGATTCATCCGGCTGAGCTGAATGTCCCTTCGAAACATTTTGCTGACCATTGTTTCATCTGGGTAGTTTATTTTGAGATGTGGTCCCTGGTCAACTAATAATGATCATTGGTAACTCGTAACCTATGGAACAGTGAGAACGCTGATTACTGCTTGGTTAAATATAACGGAGTAAATGAGACTCGCAGTCATTAATCAATAACCAGTAGGTGTGAAAGATTTGGCGCTAGGGGTAACCAAACTGGTATGGAGGTAACAAGAACCTCCCTTGCCTTACATATATCAGAGTAGGAAACCGAAAGTTAAGCAAAATGATGTCAAATCGACCAGTGGATCTCAGCCTGATGGATGGAGATAAAATACACAGGATTCTGGACACGTTGAATTCAAATTCATTCATGCCTCAAAACAGACAGCAAGCCTCCTGAGACGTCGACCTTGGGAATAGTGAACAATAAAAATGATCCTCCAATTGAATCGCTAAAACGTATAACAACTATCACCCACTGGAGGTACAACAAAACCGTGCTATCAGGTCAACCGGTTGTGACTTACTTCGAACCCCTGTAAGTATAACCCGTCAACTTCACCAAACGATTAACCCGCGGAACGCCACTACAATAATTATTTGTACCTATCTCACACCCAGGATATGAATGGAATCCAGGGAAATGTATGCCGTCGATATTGTGAGTTACGCCACCTGGGACATTTTCCAACCACAGAAGTAGATGAACTAACCCAACGTCAAGTAACACTTTTTGTTGACCGTTTGACTCAAGCGCTGAACGGAATAAGCTGGCTCATGCGTGTGTGCCACGCCAAATTCTATGGTGTGCTGTCACAACACATCCCATGACGCCAACAAAGAAAAAACCAACCACAGAGGAAATGTGAGAATCATTTATACGGTAAATCGAGTCACAAGCCAGTGAGGTTCAGAAAATAAAATGTGAAGTTTCAGTGTCTACATCCCTGAATGAACAAAAAGAATGATCGAACTGCGAAACAAGGAGAAATCTCCCATGAATGTGGAGTGGGGTCCTACTAGATTGTTCATGGCCTAGC